GGATATTGTGTGTGTTGTTCGTCCTTCGATTCGAAGAAGACTTTAACACCATGTACGGTATAGTAGTATGGTACGGTATTCAGTGGTGTAACTATTGAGGGGGCGGGGGGTGTGATGGGTGGGCTCGAAGGTGAAGTGGGAGGGCTCGATGATCAGTTGAGAGGCGCTAATTCGCAAAATGTGGTGATTTTTAACTACTTGACCATGATTTTTGGGGGAGCGACTAGGGAAGTGCGCACCCAGCGCCCTCCCCTAGATACGCCGGTATTTACGAGTTATCTGCGTGTGTACGTTGGTGGCTGGTGTCCAATCCTGGCTTTCAGTAAGTTTCACAAATTGCCTTTATAAATTTGTATTAAAAAAACAATTTTGTATATAATACATATAGGATATATTTTACTAAATCAGAGTACGAAATAAACGGAAACCAATGTGCATAGTATACTAATTTTGATGTATTTTAATCGTAGGTATTTTTAATGTAAATTATTTTAATAATAATAATAATAATAAATTTATTCTTATATAGCGCAAAATGCAAGAAACCTCTAAGCGCTTTACAATGAAAGGAAAAACCGGATCAAAATAAAAGAAAAATGATTACAACAGTGAGGGAAATCAGGTTAACATTATGAATGAATATTTATTTATTTATTTTAATTTATTTTATTAATTAATTAATTTATTTATTTATTTTTTATTTATTTATTTATTTATTTTATTTTTTTCTTTCAATTACCTTCTCATTCCATTTGGTTACTTTCCAATTTATTATTGATTTCTTATACATTCAACTATTTCACAGTTTTTTCTTATGTGTTTGGCTTGTCTATCCTTTCCTCACAGCTCTTGTCTGTATTTCCCAATCCCCATTTCCTTTCCTTTTCTTATGTTCACATAAGTTTCCTTCATTTTTCATTCTGATGTTACCTTATCTTTTCCTTTCCTTTTCCTTTCTTATTTTCCTTATCATTTTTTCCTTTTCCATTTTTGTGTTTCCTTATCTTTTCTTTCCTTTTCCTTTATTTTGTTTCCTTATCATTTCTTTCCTTTTCCTTCTTATGTTTCCTTATCTTTCTTTTCTTTTTCCTTTCTTATATTTCCATATCAATTCTTTAATGGATCCTTATCATTTCTTTCCTTTTCCTTCTTATGTTTCCTTATCATTCTTTTCTTTTTCCTTTCTTATATGTCCGTATTTGTTTCTTATGTTTCCTTATCATTTCTTTCGTTTTACTCTCTTATGTTTCCTTATCCTTTCTTAAGTTCCTTTTCTTTCTTATGTTTCCTTATCTTTTCTTTCCTTTTTCTTCCTTCTTCCTTTCTTATATTTCCTTATCTTTTCTTTGCTTATCATTTCTTATATTTCCTTGTCTTTTTCTTTCGTGTGTTTATACACGCTTTAAAAATAAGTAGTTTTTATAGTTTAAGACGATTTTGTACTGTTTTATGGATGTTTTTGTACCTTAGATCCTGATGAAGAGCGTAAGCTCGAAAGCTTGATAATTAAAGACACGTTTTGTTCCATCCAAGCCTCCGACTATTTCTTTCATCAATACATACATTTCCATATTAGACATGTCACATAAAAATTGATAGTTTAAACCCTTCGTCTTTCATTGAAAACTACTGTATTTTGTCAGATGTTATTGAAAGTTGATAGACTATAA